AAAATTGCAGGAAATGTAACAAGATTCATTTTTCCGCCACAGTTGAAGGCAATGTCATAAAGTTCATTCAGCAAAATGATTCCCTGTACAATGAATCAAATCTTAAATATTTAGCCAGCTATTTTGTCTTACATTCCTACAAAGTATACGGTGTTGGCTCTGTAGCAGGTAATAGTATATTTGTATTTTTTATTGGAAATTACAAATAATTCCTTCTTTAGGAAAATGATAAACTAAGCTATGGAAATCGTTGTCAATATTAAAAATACTTTTGTATTTCAAAACAAGTTTGATAAAGAATAATCTAGAAATGAGTTATGGATGAAAATTGAGCATGTGGACTTGAAGTACTTCCAATTTTGGGTTTCTCTTAATACAATAGCTCTAGGTTATTATAATAAATCACAAAAAAATCTAGGACAGATTTTCTTAAAGTAGAAACTCACATTAATTGTTCATTATGAATGATCCTTATCATTTGATGCAAAGTATTGGTTTGCTTTTAATAATACTTAAAATTAACATAAGATTATATTTATACATGGTACTAATCTAACATTATTTTTAAAAACCTTATGTCTCTTTTGTAATTTTTTAAAAACCTTTCTTAGTTTCTTCTTCTTGATTGGGCTTTTAAGTATGTTATAATAAAAGGGTAAAAAAATCCTTTCTTGCCATTGGGCTTAATTTCTAATCAAATGATTATCTTTCTTGTCCTTATGTCAACCAGATTTCTCTAAATTCTAGCATAATATGTGAACCTAGACATATGTTGATATGATAGTTTATTCAGTATTATATAAATATTTGAATCATATGAAATCCTCAGAAAAAAATGGGAAATGTCATTAAGTTATTATTATTGTAAAATATTTACAGGAATGTGGCTTTACCTCCCTGAAATAAATTATAATTGACATGAGATTTGATTCACACATTGATAAATAATGCACTATGTAGAATTAAAATATGAACTTATAAGAAATAATTTATGAATAATCAAAGAGAAGTAATTCTAGAAAGACTATTAAGACTGGAGTTTGATCTCCCCTGACTTTCCATTTAGTACTTCCAACATCACAGTGCCCTTTGGTACTGACTAATAATTTCAAAAATGTCTACTCAGCATATTATATAGGCCTTAAAGTTTCTTTGAGTTCTCACTCAATTATCTGATAAAAGCCGTGTTAACATCATCTAACCAATTCTTATTGTACTAATTTTATTTTATTTTTCTAATTTAGATACCGCCCATCTCACTCACACTCATACTTAGGTCTGTTAAGGCACACCAGGAAATGAATTTTAATATCAAGTACATTTCTGGCCACAAGACAGGAAATTGTGGCTAAAAGGCAGGGTTTAAAACTTCCTCCTGCCCTTTGGAGAATATATCACCCTTTCAATGACATGTACTGACTTTAGATGAGTGTGGTTCTTGTTTTATTGTATATTCCACTAAAAAAACAAAAGGTTGCAAACTGTTATAGCATACAGGAACAGAAAAACACTGTACAACAGCCCAATGCTAAATTTGCATATATTAAACACTGTATGAGCCCAAGATACTTACAATAACATAGAACAAGGAGTGAACATATAAGCATGAAAAGAGTGGGACATTTCACTCAACATACGGGACATAAAATCCATGGAAAACCAGAAAAGGCAGTGAAGCAGCAAGAGAAACTTAAACAATACTGAATGAATAAAAATAAAGTTCAGATTGCTCACATAAATTGCTCCTATCCACCTCAACAAGACTGGAGGATTGGGATTTCCTCTTTTCTTACCATGTATTTTAGATTGTCAGTCTCTATTTGTTTAGACTGCTAGGCATTTTGGGGAAAATGCTTACAAAGAAACTTAAACATGTGGTTTGATATAGCAAAGACATCAACAATCAATGGAAGCAAAAACTAAGAACCACTTTATCTTCACTGTCCAGCTTTCTGAGAATCAAAATAAAACATATTTAAGTACCTGAAAAAAATTACTAAAAAAGTAATAAAATTTACTTCAAGATTCAAATTCATTTTATTGAATTGAAAGGGAGTTATTTTAAAGAAAACCTGGTTAAAATCTTGATTAGACTCCCAAATCCTGTCAGACAACTCAAATAAATGTTCATCAAAATTAAAATAAGATATGAAGCTATTTATAGTTTTACTGGAGGTTACTGGGAAAAAGAGTATAGACTGTGGAATATCTGTTTATCTTGACAAAATAGTTGACACTGGATAACCACAAATGAAAAAAACCGCTTTGCTGAGTAAGATTTAAATTCAGAAAATCTAGTATGCTATTTGCTAGCCAAACATATTTTAATTCACAAGCAAACTCTGGAAATGATGCCACTTTGAAGGATACCTGCCCCTTGGTAATTAAGAGATTTAGCATATCTTCTGGACATAGCGTCCCATTTAGCAATCATTGACAGTTGAATGGTTAAATACTGGAAAATAGTCCTTGACTTGCAACAATTCATTTACTGAGATAGTTCAAAGCAACAAAGGCACTAAGTTTAAAAAGTGACTTATGACTGTTTTTCAGTTATGACTGTTGCATCTCAGTGGTCATGTGATCAAAATTCAGACATTTGGCAACTGACTCATAGATATGACAGTTGCAGTATCCCAGGGTTATGTGATCACCACCTGCAGATTCACTTAACATCATGTCATTAACTTAACTGCAGTGATTCACTTAACAACTGCGGCAAGAAAGCTAGTAAAATGAGGCAAAATTCATTTAAATTTCTCACTTAGCAATAGAAATTTTAGGCTCAATTGTAGTTGTAGGACGAGAACTATCTGTACAGATTCAGCCATGAAGCTCAATGGGTGGAATAAGTCCAATATACTGTATATAGGTCTAAACAAAACATGATTTTGAGAAGTCATAAATGTTGTTTCTCTACTCCAAATCATTAAACCACATTATCTTACAAGCATATTGAAATGAGTTGGAGGATTATATCTATCTATCAATCTTTTTACTTGGAAAAAGTTTATATTTTATAAATACAGCAAATACTGTGATTCACTCAGCTTTCAACTCTCACACTCGTCCATTAATTATTGGTCCCTTTTTGGTGAGAAAGACAATCCATTTGAAGTATTTTGCAGTTGATCAAAAAAGACCTCAGCCTTTATGCAATTCGGAGTGAACTTTAAGCCATTTCCTTTGCCCTTGTCTTACATTTAGAAACAAGAACAAATACATCAAACGAATCGGTCACTCTGAACAGTCACAAGGATTTGTCCAGGAATCATGCTTTTGCTGAGATCCAGACACAGTGGAATCCGTCAATACTCCGTTTTCTAAGAGTAAGTTCAAGTGGCATCAATCACAGCCACTTGGTGCAGGGTTGACTTCAAACAGGCTAACGAACTGCCTGTTTTTCTGAGGAGCTTTGGCAACGCAGTTCCCTGTCCCTATTTGCTAGCCAGTTCAACTCACCAACTACTCGGCGAAGACGCTGCCTCCCCTTCCGCCATAGCTGTTGACGTGCCCCTAGCCGTGCCGTAAAGCGTGATCTAAATTTCCAAGGTCTGCGCCGTTCACACCCCAAACTCATGCATGGCTGTCGTAAAGTGGCAACAGCTACGATGACGCCAACATATAGAACTATAACATAAGATCGGCCCGTCTCGTTTTGCTTCCTGGAAGCGGGTTCCTGTGGGCAAAAGAGGTATCCATAACTTCAGCGTCAATCGGAGGTCAGAAAACGAAGTTTTAAGAATACAAATAGGCATTGAACAGTCTGGAGCTTACTTCTGAGTCCACAGGCATACGATTTCAACGTGGAAGTCTAAACTATTATATTGGGATCATTGTTTTGTTTGTTTTTTAAATGGAGACTGCATAATATTTTGTTGTACAGTAGATGTACGGTTCTCAGCTAAACATGTTTGGGAGCGGGAAGTTTTTTGAGTGTTTTTACGGTTAGAAGTCAGAAATCTTTGCTGCTCTACTTCACATTATGAAGAGATAAATCAACAGAGCCTCATCTGTGTCTGGTAAGTTGCAGAGGTGCTTGCTTGCGCTCTAATGAGGGTGCATTTACCAGCATAATTCCTGATGGTCTGAAAGTTAGACTGAACTGATACAGATCCTTCGAAACTTACCACGCCTTTACGCTAACAATCGCACCACGCTCCAGCGACGTTGTTTTTAAACTGTCATCAGGTCCGAGTCTATTGCCGCACACAGCACAACCCAGCTCGAAACGTAACCACAAGCATATTTTGACGTTTTGCTCTCGGCGTTATGTTAAATCATAAACTCGGTGGCTAACTCGGAGCAAAATAATACAACTAAGGTTCAGAACGGTAAACAAAATCACGACATTTAAGTAAGCAATCTATTTTTCGGGGTTTGCTCCAGATCCCTCTATCCCAAACTGCCCGGATGAGCCAGCGCCACTTGTTAAGAGGTAGTTTAGTTGCGGGTGAGCTTACACTCCAACCCTGGGTAAAATATAGTTTGGTTTACCGTTGAGCCAGGCCATTCTATAACGGTTGTTTTTTTTTAAGTTGGCTTAGAGTAGAGGAGTCCAAACTTGACAACTTTAAGACTTGTGGACTTCAACTCCCCAGAATTCTCCAGCCAGCAAAACTTCAATTCTGGGAATGGAAGTCAAAAAGTCTTAAAGTTGCAAGTTTGGGGACCCCTGGCTTACAGTTTTGCGAGCAGAGACATCGGGATGTCAACCATAGTTGACATCTCCTTTTGCAAAGGCTGCATTAGCGCAGCTGGGAGGTCGCGCAACCCAAAATCAAATGTCTGCCACGCGTTTCCTTAGAAGCAAGTCCGATTACATGTAGTAATGGAATGTCTTAATACTTAGTTATAGAGCACTGAACTGTTTGTAACTCTGTAGATGTGCAGTGCCATCCTCCTCCTCTTCCTGTCCCCAGCCCAGGTCATCGCCCGCTGTCAGCGAAACGAAAGTAACCTCGCCTTTGAAATTCCTCCCTGCCCGACCCACTGGGCGGGATTCAGGCGTTCAAAGCGGCCGCCGGCAGCGGGCAGAGGCGGCGTGGGTTACACAGCATGGCGGACAGGTTGGACGAGCCTTGGTGGGAGACATCTGAAGGAACCAAGCGTAGTAGTCCAGGTATCGGGCTTTGGGAAAAGCGTGGAGGTTTTGGGATGCTAATTTTATGGTCGGTCTCTTCGCATTGCTCTGGGTATTTAGAAATGACTCAGAAAGGAAGAGTCGATAGGTTCTTGCATGAAAACTAGCTTTCTTTTTTTCAGTCAAAGAGTGGGAAAGGTAGGCTAATTATTTTCTATATATATTCGAGAAGTACATAAGACGTATTGGATGTGCCACTTTTGAATTTGGTTCCTTAAAATAGATTATAAATAGATTATAAAACTATTAAAACATGCCAATGAACAGATGCCATGTCTCTGATTCCACTGAAAACAGATACAAGTGTACCCTCAAACCGCAGGCAGAGACATTAGAAAAGGATGCGGAATAACAATTATTGGAAGTAAATGAAGGGGGCAGAGAGGTTTGGGGGGCTCTGCTGTACTGGTGAAATGTTGGAACACTATCTAGAGGCTGATTAGCTGCATTTGTATGCATTGAAATATCTGTTTAGCAGAATATGATCTCTGCTTAGATATTTATTTTCTTTTATTAGTTACATTTTATTGCAGCTTTCCTCCAGCTCAGTGTGATGCGTCTTCCTCTTATGCACACTTTTTTTAATCTTACAGAATTTTCAGGTCAGTTACCATAGGTGAGACCAAGCTGTAGTTTTTAGTTACCCGTTCTTGCTGTTTGCAATATATATTTATGCAAATATGTATACCTTATCTGTCATTGAGGCTTTACAGTATATCAGATATATAACTTTTGCACTCAATCTTCTGGTCCACTTCAGCTCCTGATGACTATAACTGTGATGGCGAACTTATGCCACATGTGCTGGAAGTGGCATGCAGAGGCATCTCTCCAGGCACATCAGCCGTTGCCTGTTGGTATTATGGGTTCCGGCACGTGCATGCGGACCAGCCAGCTGGTCTTCTCGCGTGCGGGAGCACTGGAAACTGGAAGAGCAATTCCCCAGAGTGCATGCACGTGCCAGCCAGCTGGTTTTCACACACGCATGCGCATTAGAAACCGGAAGGTCAGGTGGCTGGTGTGCATGTGCGCACCGGGAAACTAAGCTTCCAGTTTTCGGCGCATGCACAGACTCCCATTTTGGCACTCAGTGCCAAAAAGGTTAACTACCACTGGACTATAATGAATATGACTATGTGGTTTTCTTGGAAATGTTTTCGAAGTCACAGTCTTAAATGTGATTTCCTGATGGTTTCCAAGGCCTAACTAGGTTTTACCTGTTTAGTTTTTAAAGAGGAATTACTGTGGTGTTTAAAAGTTTATGATCCATTTTGAATTTTCAATATTTCTGCATAAATATGACCTGGAATGTGATCTGATCCCAATAAAAATCTGAAAACTAGATAAAACCCAATTAAACAAATTCCAACTGATGTATAACGAGGGATGGTCCCCATCTCATGAAGAATTAAAACATTCTTAAAAAATACAATGTAACTTCTGTGTGCTGTGTATTGAATGATTGGTTAATCAAAGTTAACTTTTATATTGGGATGCAGATATGGGCCTCCTGTGTTAATGAGGAATTATGCATAATTGTAGCTCTGTAACATTTGTTGTGTTAGCAAAAATGGAGAGGAAAAAATAACTTTGGAAGCAATGGATTAATTCTAGAGCAAGTGATCTATGGCTTGCTATCATTTTATACATTTTATACAATCTATTAATTGAAAAAAATATTCCTTTTCTATGAGTAGTAAATCAATCAGAATAGAGATGGAAGGGATTTTGGAGGCCTTCTAGTCCAAACCCCTGCACAAGAGATCCTATACCATTTCAGATGAGTGATTGTCCAGTCTTTTCTTAAAAACCTCCAGTGATGAAGCACTCACAAATAGTTTAGGAATGTTATTTAATGAAAATGTTGTTCATCCCTATATTGAGGTTTAAATACTAAAATAATTTATTTTATAATAAGATACAATGAAAATACTTCTTGCCTATTCTACATTCCATACAGGTCTAATAATTTTAAAAGAATCCAATTTTAAAAATAGTTTTTCATTTACCATATTATGTCAGAAATATTGATGTAAAAATGCATGTGACAAGCAAAATTCACAGCATCTCAATTTTGAAAAACACATCAAAAGCACATTTGGTGACAGTAATCCATTTCTTCATATGCTTATGCAATATGTAGGATTTCTTCCTCTTGTTTTCTGTTGGAGCTGAAGTGGGACTGGTGACATTTTATCATCCTGTGATAATTTTATAGTGCCATGATAGCACTGCTTTTTTTTTTCTGCTGAGGATAAAAACACTTGTTTTTCTAGGGTTGGCATACTTTGTTTTCTATCTGATTCCTTGTCCTTAGTCCTTAAAGAACTCTTTGTCTCTTTAAGGTTGATTGAGTTGTGAATCAAGAATACAATTGCCCTTAATACTGCACTGGGAAATTGGGAGAAAATAATAGCAGAGTGGTGGCTGTATTTTTAAAGTCTCTTCATTATGCTCTGTCCAGTTTTGCTGTTGTTTTGACATTAGGAAAATGGGGCAAGATTATACTGAATAGTAGATTTCTGGTTATAAGAAAGTCTCAATGCTTTTTAATTCCAGTGTCAACATCAATCTTTTTTGCTGTATTGGTGTGCAAAATCATTTCTACTTATGAGTTAAGTGATGATTATCTCACACATCAGCAGTCTTATGTCTTCCTGACATTTTGAGTAGCAACATTGGAAATATATTTGGTGATGTCTGATGTCTCATCTTTAGTATCTTAAGTTGGTTTCTTCTATTGTCCAGAAGGTATTTTCACTGGTAGCACTGTTGTACTGATGGTTTTTGATTTAGGATTTCTAATAGGAATTGCTTGACGGAAAACATCAGCAATCTATAATTAAAATAAAAGAAATCAAAATATTTGCATAGTTATCAATTTTAATGTATAAATTTGTATGAAAAAGTATATTCAAAACATGGCAATGTTTTTTTACTTTTTTAAAAAAATGAAGATACTAGATTATGTAGCCTGCATTCATACATCATGCTAAACTGTAAACTCCTTGCGTATATAACTCTTGTCAGATATGTACAACATACTAAGCAAAATACAAGCAAACAGCAATTCATCTTAACGTGAATCCAGTTATGGGCTTCACTTGCATGACAGAGGTATGGTTATTTATTTTATAATAATTAAGCCAATTTTTTAGGTTGGCACATTGCATCATATCATGTGATAAACATATGGGCTGGTAGTTACAATATCTAGATTAAATATTGATTAGTTAATGTATAGTTTTACTATAAGAGCTAACCATAGTGTTATCCTGGTTCAGAAAAGAACTAGATTTCTATGCCAAGAGAATATCCCATCGAGGTTGTAGTGATCTTTCATTGTTGTGAGATGAAGTACAATGTTTTCTTTGCTAAATGCTTTGTATGGCGTTGCTGAAAATTCAAGTCTTTTAAAGGATTTAATCTACTTCTTATCTCTAGATGGCAGCAAAGCTCAATAGTTTGTAGTATTTGAATTAAATTCTGGGGCAGAGACATTGAGATGTATATAAGATATTCCTAACAACAATAAAATATGACATTATTGTTAACATAGTTCATATAGGAAACCTGAAATAACAAAGTGTTCTGTGCATTGCTATATAGGTCAGAATTATTTTTGACAACAAAGGGGCTACTTGGTGCCATTTGAAGTTTATAATAATCATAATTCTGCTGATTATAATAATCAGCAGAAAATAACAGGAATAAAATATTGAACATGTTAATTCAGCTCTCACCATTCTCTAAATGTGATATTATTGCAACTTTTGGAATTTTTACTTGTTTGGCTAATATAGGTATACATATTGATTTATATCAGTTCATTTAGTGACCGTTTCAAGTTACGTCACTGAAAAAAGTGACTTATGACTGTTTTTCACAGAACTGTGCAGCATCCCCATGGTCATGTGATCAAAATTCAAACGCTTGGCAACTGACGTATTTATCACGATTGCAGTATTGTGGGGTCATGAACCTTTTATGACCTTTGACAAACTTAAGTCAATGGGAAGCCAGATTCACTTAACCATATTACTAACTTAACAATTTCAGCAATGCACTTATCAGCTGTGTCAAGAAAGGTCATGAAACGGGGCAAAATTTACTTAACAACTGACTCACTCAGCACAGATATTTTGGCCTCAATTGTAGTTGTAAGTCAAGGACTACCTGTACAGGCTTGGAGTTAAGTTTTCCAGATCTTCTAAAAAACTAAACTCTGGTCAATTGATATACAACATTTTAAACCCCCTTTCAATGTCTCCTTTAATATTAGTGATGTTGTTAATCTCTGTATTTCAGGAAGGAGCAGAGTCCAGAACTCAGGGCTTGCTTTTGAGAAAGCATGAGGTAAACAAAGGCAATTATACATCTGGAAATGGTTGGAGAGGACTACATTAAATTCTAATTACACACATCTAACCATTCTCACTAAATTAAGGCTGAAAAAATGTAAACAATATATATGCAGAAAAGCTGAATCTACAGGCAAGATTTAAGCTTGATGACTTAAGTTTGATGATCAGCTGGAGGGGCTGCATTGGCAGTGTGAAAATAGACCTTGAGTATTTTTCTCATCATCATCTGATATGATATCCTTGTAACAGTTTGCTTGATGAGACCATATTAACTTATGTTCATTTATTTAATAAAACATGTAATTTATTAAAATGAAGCAGCTTTGCGTGCCTATATTTGATAAATATTTAAACATAAATGTCTTCATTAAATTTATGTAATAATGAAAATTAAATATCCTTCAGAGTTTTTTAATTTAAATGTTCTATAAGTGGCTAGTATGGGGTACAGTTGATTGATTTCTATTCCATAAAGTCAAATTATTGTATTGATATAGTAGGAGCACAGCATTATTAGTAGGATAAGGTAATAGGGATTATTAGGCTACAGTAGCAAGGATTTTGCTATAAATTATAAACTTATGGGAGAAAAGGAATTAACCTAAAGAACTGAGTTATTTGAATAAGTAATATGTTGTGTTACAATAAAGATAAAATTTGGCTATAGTTTTTTTTTCATGAAGCTTTTTCTGAAGCTACAGTTTGCCTGGCCCAGCCCAACCAAAGAGAAGAAATAGGGCTTTTTCCTACCTTTTGGATTTTGGTAAAAAGTACAACCTCCCAACCTATGCTGGCTTTTTTTCTTAACATAACCTTTTAATAAAAATTATTATCATTTGGAGTTCTAAATATACTAGTGTTATGTGATGTGGTGGCGAAGAGGAAATATGTAAACGGAAGCATGCACTGCTGCTTCTAGTCATTATGCTTCTTATATTAGTTTGCCTTCAAAATAATTTTTCATTGGAAAAAGAAACAAAGGTTAAATGGGGACAAAGCTTCTTAATTTGTTTGGAAAAATACAACAATCCAGACAACTAGATTTTTTAAATACCAGGTCTAATTTTACCTAGGAATAATTTTAAGAGTTATTATTGCTTCTAATCTCCTTGGAGATATAGCCAATTAAGCATTTGTACAAAATTCAAGAACTGTTTCTGTCAGTAAAAATTGTATGTGTAGAAACCACTGACTTTTAATTCTGCAGATTATCAAAATAAGATTTGTCTCAACTTGTTTGATAAAAGTTGAATTTTGTTTCAAATGAGGAATTGTAGCTCTAGAGAAAAAGGAGGATTTGCTTCAAAAAATCCAGTTTCTGACTTCTCCACTTAAGAAAATGTGCAGGGATGTGAAATCATACATTAAAGCTATAATTTGGAGAGCTACTATGTGTCAGAGTAGGTAATAAATTAGATGTATTTATTACACAAATCCACTATGTAGTTTTAAACAAAGCATGGTTTAGCATGCTAGGTAAACTTCAAACAATTCCATATAGAGGAAGAAATACCCTGATCAGGTTAAAAACAGCTTTTATTATTTTGCTGTGTGATATATTGGCTTTTGCAATAAAATAAGTTTTTCTGTTAAAATAATCAGTTCTAGAGCAGCTGCAATTGAACACTAGAGTTCATTCAGCCATTTATGTGCTTTTGTTAACTTATGACTTGGACTTTTAATAACTTTTAAATATCAAGTAGCATAGATAGATGAGTTACAAGCCATCTGTAGATGTTTCTTCAATTCTGTACATTGAGGAAAGAGCTCCATTGTATGTAGGGGATTTCTGAGTGATCCTAATGCCATTCTGCCACATACTGTATCACAATGGTGGCTAACCTTTTTTGGGTTCCTGTGCCAAAAATTGTACTTGTGCTTGCACGCTCTTGCTTGCATGCCAGCACCCAGAAGGCAATGTGAACCCCCCACACACCCGACACATGCGCGCACACATGTGCAGTGAGGTAAGTTTGTCTGCAGCTCGTGTGCTAGCACAAATGGCTCTGCGTGCCACCTGTGGCACGCGTGCCATAGGTTTGCCATCATGGCTGTATCACAACTACTGTAACTGCTTATATTGTATGCTCTGCAGACCTGTTCATACCTGCTGAAAAGTAACTTTCATTAGCTTATTCTTAAGTGAGTATAGATTTGCCTTTTATTTTGTTCTTTTTTTGATTTTATATTGTCTACTAAGCCACGGGGATATAGTGATGACATTCGCTAATTGCTGGGAGTCTATTTGGGATAGTGATGGCTTTAGCCAAAATCATCCTGTTAAGCTAGAAGATCTAGCTTGGCTATTATTTCATTGCATTACAGTTTACCACAGAAAATTGTAATTATACTTCTGAATATCAGAGGCACAATCGTGAAGAATGTCAGGAAGAGTGGTGTGATTCAAAAGATCCCACCACCGGTTCTGTAGGGGTGGCTTGGTGGGGGTGGCTGCAGGGGTGGGATCATGTGATTCGCGCGATTACGTGCCAAACACACGCTTTGCGCAAGCATGTTAAAACAGTAAAAACTAAGCTATTGCGCCTCTCAGCTGTTTAGCACAGCAATCTGCTCTGCCATGTCAAATAGCTAAGAGGTTAAAAAAGACCCCGGAGCAGGGGCCAGCAGGTGGGCCCAACTGCAGAGTGTCGGAGAGACTTGGAGCGAACTTATTCTCTGCCAGCTGATCTTGGGCGCTACCGGTATGCCAGAACTGGGCTGAACCAATAGAATACCACCCACTAGTCAGGAGCTATAAAGGTGATCAGTAAATGTCATAGAGTTGCCCACTCCTGTCTTAAAGAATAATGTAACATTTTGAAATTGCAAATTGATAATTCCTCTCTGCCTTTAAGGGGAGACCCGATCAGGAAATTGGTTCCATAGGAAGACTATGCTTCTTAGAAATAGGCTATCCTAATAGAATCATGCAAGCCTGTGCATTACCTTACCTTCTCCTTATATCCCATTGAACCAGGAAGGATCCTGCCCAAGTCTCTTCCAAATACTATATTGTTTGCCAGGCCTTAAGGAATGTTTTAGCCCACTTGCTTACATATTGGTTCTTGCCTACAGAATTTCTTTCAAGATCATCTTCCTGATTCTCTGCAGTTCCAGGGATCATGAAGCTCTCTTGATGAATCTTCCTTTCATACACCAAAGTCTCATATTCCGGATTTCTAATATTTATATAACTGTTCATTGTTGGGAATTATTTTATGTCAGTTGAGTATTATACATAAAGAGGACCAAATACAAACTCATATTAATATATTTGATTAGTCCTCTAATGAGAAATACTAACGTAAAATACTAAATAATATTAAAAGGAAATAGAAATATATTTGAAAGAAAGAAATGTAAAGGTGGGAGAGTCCAATCAATATCAATATCTATATATCTATATATATATGCAGGTTTTGGCCTGTTCGGGTCTTTTCCCGAAGCTTCGTGCTTGTGCGAGCCAAAGCAC